GGCCTATCTTCTCAACTGAATTACTCAAAAAAATAAAACGTATATAAAAAATAAAAATCTAGTGCATAAGAGGTAATGGAATTCAAAGCCTTACCAAGTTAACAATAGAAAAATAAAATAAAAAAAAATCAAAACCTTGCGTGTGAATCTTTGTTCATGTGAAGCGTGTGACGAAGAACTAAGAACGTCTAGAAAAGAATGTGTTGTTTTGCTTGACGTATTTGAATTTCCTTGTAATCTTTATTCCTTTTAACACTTACTCACTAGAAATGCCACATTACTGTGAGGACACTTTCCTGGTAATTTGAATGATTACAATAAAATTTAACGCTTTACCAATTTCTTTTCATTCGTAAATTAAGTAATTTTCTTCCCATGGTTGCCATTCACTTGAAGTGCCACATTAATATAAGAAAAGTATGTGGGATATTTACATGTAAATCCCTATTTAAGTTCTCTTGTGATAATATATATATTTTTTATCGCTTTTTCTATGCATCAAATTAGCCTCAAATTTAACATTTTCAGACCTTTCATCAACATATATCTATTAAAAAATTTAAAATTTAAAATTTTAAAACAAATTAAATTACCAAATTACTCATATTCAATTCAAGGATAGTTTGATTATCGTACTTTGTTTAAATATTTTTTTACATCTTTTGTATGTGTATGATGATAAGAAGTATGAATTTATATATACATATATCGAAATACATATAAAAATAGGATTTATATTTAAATTACTCAAAATTTTCAAAAACTGGGGGATTCATCCGATTATGGGGTTCTCAAGAACTTGATCATCCCCCGACGGTTCTAATTTGAATAGGGCGATATAGGTCGAAACATCTGAATTTTAAAACACTAGAAAGGATGATCCTCACCGGTAATGGACCGGAGAAATTCCCTGGAAGAGGACTTTGGATTTTGCATGATCCACAAACGAGTCAGACCAGTTTGCCCATGTCTTCATTCCTTGGATGAAAGCCACGGTTCGATCCATGTCCTTGTAAACCTTGTCACCAACCCTCATGTAATCCCATCTGCTTCAAAAATGTTTCCCCTTTGTTACTCATCAATTACAAAACTTGTCAAAAAAAGACCTCAAAAGATTCATCCTTCACCTCAAGAGAAAGGCAACAGTTTAGCACCCTCCACTCTCACTATTAACATATTAAAAACAAAAAAAGAGTAGTTTATGTACTAACACTATTTTTAAAAAAATTATATATATGAAATGCTTTATTTATAAGTGAAAATTATAAAGAATATCGGTCAATCCTTTTTTTTTTTTTTTTTTCTAAAATTGGCTCTCGGTTTTGAGGACATCCTCAGACCAAATTTTAGTATATTTTTGTAGTTTTTTTGTTAGTAGGGCACTACCCTAAAGCACAAAGTACTGCCTTACTAATGAAATAGTTTTAAAAAAAATTTAAAAATTCAGACCAAGAATTCCATCCTTTGACCGAAAGAAAATTTTAAATAGTATAAAAAAATAAAGGTTGATCTACCTTTATAATTTCTACCTGAGCATTTCATATTTTAAAAAACATTTTGAGGTCCGCATAGAAATCACTCGAAAATATAAAAAAGTGGGAGCAGTTTAGGATTTCTCTCACCCTCTGTCATTGCCAACGTGGGTCCACCAATGCCATGAATTGAATGACAAAACATCGGCCCCTACCCATGCATTCCCATTTTCGATTGAATCGAGTCGTAAGGCTCGGCCGGCGGGCTCACTCACGACGTCTACAAGATAATGAGACCGATAAAACGAAACATTCACTCCATAGTCCTGTTCAAAAAACAAAATTGTAACAATATTGACTACATTAAAGGAGTTATAATCTCAATTGAGAATATGACCATTGATTTGGGGGTGTTATTAGCTGAAATTGGCATAATTCTAGAGAATCCTTGGGAAGTTTATGATAACGAGAGAGTAAGTACCTCTTCTTTTTTTTTTTTTTAAAAAAAGTTCTCATTTTTAAATTTGGATACTATGAGACCCTCTCATACCCATATGAATAAAACTCCAAAGGATCATTATTAAATTGACACACATCTTTAGAAAAATTATCAATAAACTCATTCACCCAAGTCCCATACCCATACCCATACCCATGTGATAACTTTTATAGAGATGTGTTATAAATGATGTTAGAGCAGCCAAAGATTACCATTAATATAAGGACAAGGTTTTTATATTGCTAGAGATATGTTACAAATAATGCTTCCCCTACAACATAATACTTATATACTTCCTTTTATCTAACCATCCATTTTGAATGGATGGCTGAGATGGCCCTAATCACAATGTCGCGTCTCTATATTATTTTATTTTTAATAATTTTTTTTAAAAATGATTTTGACATCAAAATTTGAAAGATTCAAAGGGTATTTTGGTCATTTATTTTATCGAAAAAAATTTAAATATTTTTTCTTAGGTGCGTTCCATTGAGACGATGACTTATACCAAATTTCATATTCATACAATTTGTAGAAAAAAACTAAAAATAAAATGATATGAAGCATCGGATCTAGATCAAACAGTGAGTGGATCATTTGATCTAAAGTGGACGGCTAGATGGGAGGAGAAGCATATATCTTTTACGATGTAGGAGAAACATAGAAACTTTTTTTTTAATATAATATCGCACTGAAACTATTTTAGAAGGAGAAAATTTACATGCGGTGCCACCCACATGTAAATAACACATTATCCCACTTCCTAGCCTTACAATCTGAATGAATGGTTGTAATCGTCCATGTCAACATGTCACATCCAAATGCTCTTTGGATTTTTTATTTTTTATTTTTATAAAATATTTTTTATCAAAACTTATGGCATGCCCTCAACTTATTGTGTTGTCCATAGCAAAAGAAAAAAAAGTGCTTTTATTAAAAATAAATATCCAAAGTGCCCTTACAGGTTTTTTAGGGTACTTTAATTATTTTATTATTTTTATCATGTGCACCCTTATTGGATGCGTACAACCCAAAATTCATTGAAAAATTATTCAAAAATAAAATATAAAAAGAATTGGTTCAAGATCTGACACTCAAGATCTAACTTAGCGAAATTGTGGTTGAAACCATCATAGTCGTCCATCCAAATAGATTAGTTAAGAACAAGGGTCACATATAATTTGACATAAATAGCAAAATTTTCCATTTAAAAAACCGGGTAAGTGGGAAAATCAAAATGACGTAATATAACATTATCAAGGCCAAGGGCCGGTCCGTTATAGACTGAAAATAACGTTGTAACAAACGTTGGGGAGGGTCGGGCTGGCCATACACGTAACGACAGGCAGTTAAAGCGACAAGAGAGAGAGAGGCTGACGCCGAAGAAGAGCCATCGGTTTCAGTTTCCTGAGCGCATAGTGTGATTGGAATTCATGTTAAATTTAGCATAAGATCACCTAGCCCCCTAAAGGAAAAGTGTGTATTGCTCGTAATTTCCGGCAAATGCGAACTCATTTGATAATTGATTCTTCAATAGCATCCATGCATAAATTTCTCTAAACTATTTGAGACAATATAGAACAGTCAAAAGAGCTAGTACCACATTTTTAATACGCTTAATTTGTACCCCTGATTGAAAAATTGGCTAGTTGGTCAAATTACTTCGCTCCGGCCCTTGTGGAGCATTAGTTGTATCGAATTGGGTGTCCAATATGGGATATTAAAAAATATAAAAAAAATCATAAAAAATCTAAATTTTTTTAAGAAGTTTATTTGATATATATGTTTTTATGTTTTCTATCATTTTGATAAAGCCATAAATATTTACTTTTATGTTTCCTTCTTTTTTTGGGATTATTTCGAAAATACCACCAATCACAAGTTTGGTTCTATTTGTTTATTACTTTTTTAACATATTTTTTGAAGTGTTTTGATTAATCTTTACTTTAAATATAGATTTTATTTTATTTTTTTGGATCGATTTGTATTTTATATAATTTTTTGAAATTTTTCTTTGCTGTTACCGTACTTGACACCAATCGGGTGGAGTTACTCCGACTCTGCCCGAGTAATCGGCTTGGGCCAGGACTGATTACCCGGACAGAATCGCAGTCTAATACTTACTATGCTTGCTAGTACATACATGTAAATAACGTTCAAGAAAAAAAAAACATGTAAATAACAAAATCACGAAAAAAAAAAAGACACCAAGACGAGAAGAGAGAGAGAGAGGGGCAACTCACCAGAAAAAGCACGGAGTAAAATGCATCTTTTTTAGCCATACTGGTTTTTGCAGTGGGCACTCCGGCCTGAATCATGCATAAGAGGGACTGCCACTGATTCAAACCCAGCGAGTCACCCACAAACATTATTGTTTTCCCTTTCATCTTTGATAAAAAGTCGAGAGCATTGAACCTGAAATAAGTTGCACCGAATCCCCGAAAAACAAAGAAACAAAAAAAATTAAAACATAAAACTATAAACAGCGAGAGAAATTAGAATTAGATTTGCATGATGACAAATAGTTGGGATAAAGTTCGAATGATGATGATTTGTAGTACGGCAATTAAGCAACTAGTAAAAGAACTAGGCCACATATATGAATTTCTATTAGATGGATGTTACCTCGGCAAATCACAGCCGCTGGGTTGCCACCTATAATGGAGATAGAGCTTATCCGACCTTCCATTCTTTAAACAGTCGAATTCTGGATCGATGAAGGGACAACGAGAAGAGTCATAAAGAGGATAAGACTCATCATAAGCCCATGTACCCACGTATGGATCACACCCTAAACCGGATGATAATAATTCCTGGCCATAGTTTTCTGAATTTTCGGCAATTATCAAGCTGCACAGTGAGAGAGTAAAGGCTGAAATGAATGGAAACACATGACCCATTGCAAGAGACAGAGTCCACAAGAAAGACAGTGTCACGGATCCAGAAAAGAGAGCGAGAATGGGTTCACATGTAACCCGTGGAAACCATTGTACCCCACCCCCCTCTTTCTCTGAAAAAGAGATACGGTTTTTATAAGAAAGAAATGGGGGAGATTTAGAGGAGTCTGGATGGGTTGTAGAATTTGGACAGGAATCACTGTCCTTTAGCGGCAAGTGAACATGCATTCTGTTTGTTTAGTATTTCTGGCAAAATGGGATGGAAGGCCCGGCCAGCCACGGGGCCCGGAAACTTGGGCTAGTGCCAGCTCGGTTTGGCCTGCTTTTTTCGTTTTTTTTTTTTCTCTTATTCTGTCTTGGTTTACTTTGACTTGGCCCGATCCTAGTAGGGCTCACGCTGGACATGGGGGGCCGGGCCGGGTTTGGAGATCATTACCACCCTTATTATTTTTTTTAGTTTGGCTTCACAAAACTTTTCAAAAACGACGCCGCTGCCCCCACTAAATTATGGTGGGTTTAGGTGCCTGGTTGTCGATCACTCTGTCTTGCTGGTGAATGTCGGCTAAAAGTGGTCAATTAAAAATGGAAAATGTTTATATGGAGCCGACGCTCTAAACAGTCAAATTATAGCCCAATTCAAAAAGTTTATTAGAAGAGGTTGTTTGGATATCCAAATATTCTCAAATTGATCATCCCGGTATTAAGATGCATGGACATAAAAAAAAAATGGATTTCAGTATTACAAATAATGCATCTTGTAACACATTTTTGGACTGTCAATTTTAAATATTTTCAAATTTACATAAATCTACTCAATCTACACTACTTTTGAAGCTTTAAAGTTTATAATTAATGATGAAAATATATTTCAAGGCTGTGTCACAAAGATTTCTAATATTGAAACTACATTTCTCGACACTAATTAAAGGTGCGTATTACTTTCAATTTTTAGAAGTTCGGCTCTATACAAACTGCACCCATTAAAAATTAGTTTCTTATTAAAACTAATTGACACTGGCGTTGTAATGGCTTAAATCATTTATCACTATCCCAAGGTTGGCAAAGTGCCGCCCTTTGTGACTTTTTTTTTAGAGGAAGTAATTCACAGCCCGTTAGGTTTTAGCCCAACACCCCTACTTTCTAACTTGTAGCACCCTTGGTTTTCAAAACCGGCGAGTCGTTTCGAAAACAGCCGAGTTGACTTGGACCGGGTAGCCATGGGGTTTGTTGTCGAAATCTTGCGTCAGTCCGATGACTTTATTTACTTATTTATTTATTTAATATGTATATATTAAGTGAAAAAAAATACAAGAAAAACATATTTTGAGATTTTTCCCTATTTTTTTTAATCAAATAGTTAACCTTCCTTACTAAAAAATCCTCCCAATAGCTCATTTGATGCTCGAAACAATCATGAGTGAGCTTTCAGGATATAATTTGGGTTTTTTTACCACTAAATCCTAACATGCTATTGCTTGTTGTTCTCCCTCAAATCTTAATAGAAAAATGGAAACTTGTTCCAAAATTTTGCTAATTGAGCCCAATACTCCCTAGAGAAATGGGTTGAAAATTTGTTTAAGTGAGGTTAGGATCCAAATTTCAGTTTTTGTTTTTGACCCCCAAAACCCCAATTCTCTCTTCCCTACTACTCTCCCTTAGATATTAACTTCGAATTTAAAATTGTTTCAAACTGTTGCTAATCTATCGTATTAGCAAAGATCTACAGAAATTGTGTCCAAGCAAATTGATTTCAGTGGGTTATAACATCCAATTCAGATTTCTTGAGTTCGGGAAAATTGTTCTGGGGCGTAAATAATCACAAGGAGATTAAACAACTTCTAACCCAAAAAAATAGCATAGGAATTGTGTATATCATCTACAAGTACACGATATATACAGTTCAAGAGCCTTTGTAAAAAAAAGATATGAGTGTACATATAGTATATAGTTACCTAGTTTCTATGTGTCCTTATACAATATACACTTTCTACATGTGCTCACAAACATGTCACAACAATTGATGAGTATTGGAAAGTGCACGATTGATTCAATTTAGTGGATAGATCATATGAGTATATATAGATATGTGGTTTGAGGATGTGTAATTCAAGCAATTTATATATAGATGGCTTCTAAAATTATTTTGTAATATAATTACAAATATTTTATGGGCGTGGTTTGTATAGAGCCTAGGCTCTAAACAATCAAATTGGAGCCTACCTTCAAATAGTGTCGAGAAAATAGTGTAGATCGACAGATCTATGAAAATCTTAAAAATTGACGGTCCAAAAAAATGTTCAAAATACACCATTTTCAAAACTTGAAATCTTTTTTTTTTCTTCTGATGTCTATGCATATTGATGTCGAGATGATCAATTTGAGGATATTAGGCATCAAAACAACCTAATCTAATGAATTTTTTGTGGTAGGCTCTAATTTAATTGTTCAGAGCCTCAGCTCTATATAAACTTGTCCCATAGTTTATATTTTGAAACAAATTGGAGAGCTAACAATTTTGTTTCAAAGATATTTGCAATATAAAAGGGCCCATGTTTCATTTTTCATTTTCATTTACTTACCCCACTTAAAAGTGTTTTTGGAAAATAAGATCAAAAGGAAAAAAGAATGGGTATTGAATGACATGAGTTGAGGGGCATTTGTCCATTGTAAGACAACACTTGCTACTCTCTCTCTACATGTGTCATTTACTTCTCTAATGAAACCACGTTTTTTGAAGGGTTTTGAAGCGGCTAAGGCACTATTTATACGCTCCCTCCCCCCCTCCCCCTTCCCCTTCCTCTTTCTCTCTCAAAATCTTACTCTCTCCTATGCTTCCTACGGAGAAAAGTATTGGGTTGTACCTTTCATGAAAGAGTCCTAAAGACATCATAGGATAACCACAACATTATTCTTCACCTTTGCCATTTTTCTTAGTACTCTATCTCTATAAATATTTTCTCCTAATTTGTGTTTCTAGGAGGCTTATGAGGAGCCCATTTTTTTGTTATTTCTCTCTTGGAAAGCAACAGAATATGGCCTTGCCTGTCTCTAACAACTAATAAATTTATTCTATGATGTTGTTCTTTTTATTTTATTTAAAGGTTATGTCAGGGTATTCATACATACGAATATTTATTTTTACTTAAGCTTGTTTGATAAATTTTTTTTTCAGTTTCACCAGGAAAAGCTGAGAATCTCTAAGTTTCCGGTAAGGAAAGGAAAATTGATGTAAATTGTTTCCACCGTTTGATAACCTATCTGGAAAACTAGAAGAGTGGGTTTCCCCCGTTTGATAACTTTGTTAGAGGAAAGTGGCTATTTTAGTCATCTACTGCATGATTCATCAATAAATCGTTAAAATTATAGCTTTTTTAAATAAGTATTTAAGTTATTACTCATCCATGTTCTTCTCATATTTCGGTTATTACTCATCCATGTTCTTCTCATATTTCGGTTATAACTCATCTATGTTCTTCTCATTAATATAAACGGTTTGGATTGTAAATTCATATTCCATATGAGATATAAATCTTCGAAGGAAATACAAAAAGGGAGAGTGAGAAGAGAGAGAGAGGAGTCTCATGCCGTAAGCCATACCAGAACCACAAACAACAAAAAAAAAAAAAAAGCATTTCTAACGAGATTGATGTCTCGTATAGTTAGTCCGCATTTGTGCAGATATGGTCTCTCTAAGTTGCACTGCATAATTATGTTCTACCCTGCTTTGAGAATTAAGATCCTCATTTTCAATTTCTTCAGCATCATCTTAGGAAACCGTGCTTTCCATATTTCGAAGGTGCGCTCCACCACATTTCCTAAAGATGAACGACGGTGATTAAACAACTCATTTGGCATCCTAGGAGTTTGATTACCTTGTTCATTTAGATGATAGCATGCTGGGGCAAGAAAACCAGAGTGTATTATTTGGGTACCTTGCATCTACAAGGTAGTATTTTCCTGACATTGTACTAAGGAGCTTACATTTATCTAGGTAGTATTTTCCTGACATTGTACTAAGGAGCTTACATTTATCTAGGTAGTATTTTCCTGACATTGTACTAAGGAGCTTACATTTGATAAAGAAATTGATCAAACATTTACTTCCCAATGTTAATAATGAATTTTACCTTGAAAAATAAGTTGAATTTCTTATTGGTTGTGATGGACCAATGTTAATAATGAATTTTACCTTGAAAAATAAGTTGAATTTCTTATTGGTTGTGATGTACCAATGGGTTTCACCGGGATTATTTCAATATTGCATCCAACACTTCATAAAACTAAAAGCTGATAGTTTGACCGGAATGTTGGAAACGAATTTGCTCTGCCCTATTCCTTTCATCATGTCCGACTGTGTTGTGTTGATGAATATGACTACTTGTTCTTCTACTCTTAAATACTGTGAATTACTAAGGAGCTTGCCTTCTTTTAAAATGTCACATAAATATTTGAAAGCATCCTTGTCCATACGCATAAAATCAAAGCAGTTACGATCATTCGAATTCAAGATATATGATATGAATTCGTCCCCAGTTAAAGAGCAAGTGTGCACTAGGTTCCTTGATAACAGCCTCATACTATAATACATCACAGAACTCAATGGTGCTGCTACCATAGAATAAACTGCGACATAGAAAGCAAATTGCTCTGACAAATCCATAGTCTAATCTGTGAAGAAAATCCATGTAGTGCATTAGATAAATTCTAGTCATGAATTTAATTAATTTCCCTATACATATACTCAAACACATAAAGCCTGTGTAGAAAAAAACATTCACACTAACACTGGTGCATACAATCATTCACATAGACATCTACAATGACATACATATTTGAAAGAAATGTAACAAATAGATCTCAATCACACAATCATACTCATAGCAGTTAAACATAATAATGAAAGAAATATCAAACTTGATTCCATGATTTAGGGAAAATGTCATCCAAATACAATCCAAACAGTTTTAAGGAGAAAAAAAAAAGAAAAAAGTTGAAGTTCATCTCCCTACTGCAGGGAGCACAAACCAAGTAATTATATAAGGCAACCAAGACATGCAATAAGGACCTAGTCCCTAGGGACTTATGGTACTTCTCGTCCATGGATAAAAAAGTGCGAGCCCTCACTGGATCCTCACAGTATTTGGATGCCTTGAAGTAGTACTCAGGATCCATTCCCTCGTGCCCATATACCTTAGTCATAGCTTTCAAGCCTTTTGTCTGGTAAAGGGTAGAATGATCCATCATTATACTTTGATTCTCTGCCATCTTATCCATTGACATCGCCAATGAGTCAACAACTCTTGCTAGCTCTTGTGCTACTACGAGATTAGCACGCTTCTTCGAAGGAGCTCGAGAGCCAGAAGTATTCTTTCGCATTCTCTTTCGTCCATTTAAGTCGGAACTTCTTACGTCAGCATCCATATATTCCGATGTCTCCTCCAGCTCCTCTGGAATCTCTGCTTGTTCATGGGGACTAAACGTGTCGTGCTCCTCATCTGCCAGTGGCTCATTCACCTCCACACACAGATTAGCCAACTCTCTAGCATAAAACAGTGGTACATTGCATCCCATCCGCATAGCCATCTCCAAATACAATATCCATATTTTCTAAGGAGGGACAAAACCTGGTCTTGTACTTAGAAGCCCATCCATGTGACTGCATAAATACAAAGCTACCTTAGCAACAAACATTCTTTTAAACATCAAATTCGTCACTTTGAATATACTTTATCACATCAAATTCGTCACTTTGAATATACTTTATCTTAAGATATTGTATCAATTTGAAGGATCTACCTCTTCATATTCTTTTCAAACTGCCCATTCTGCTGTAACCATCCTTCTAGTCTCGTTCTGACCAAAACCAGAGTTCTGCATGAGTTGTTTTATAACACCATACACTTTCCTCACTGTCCTAAGTCTATTCTTACATCTCTCCCAATCAAAACCTGGACCATACAATTTACACAACTCAGATGTTATAATTGATCAAGCATCCTTGGTGAGCTGTCCAGCATTCATGTTACCCTTTTGAATTTCATCGGCCATGAGAGCCAAAAGGGTGTCATCTTGAAGGGCAGACCACTGATATTTCTTACCAGATGATTGGGAATGCATTCCTGCATGTCCAAGGTATAAACGTTAATTCGATGTTGTAAAAAAGGTTATCTTCTATGTATACGGTGATGAAAGTTTGATCATTAGTTGCAACAGTACTTATGACAGATTTAAACTCAACTTTTGAGTGTGAATGCCATGTTTAAAAGCATTTCCTTGCTCAGGGACCAGGCCTACTTATGGTTTACCGTGCCCCAAGAAATCTCCATGGCTCAAGCATGTAATTCCTTCGAAACCCACGATCAAAAACTTGAAGAACCTCACCAAATTACCAAGTCATCACTCTACCGACTTGTCCTTGTGAGCTTACACTTGGAAATAGAAATGGTTGTTTCAATGCAGGGTCATACCCACTATGTATAATCAACTAAGAGCTTAGCAGCTAACCTAGCCTCAAAGCTCTTGCATGGTACATGGGTAAGTGTTTTGATCAATTGAAAACTATTTCATAATGTTTGCACAATCGTAATAGCAAGTACATAGAGTTACATAGCCAAGCAAGGGCTCTAGACAAAAGGAATAAAAATGTGAAGTATATGATGAATCACCAACGATCGAGAAATACAATGAACAATGCAAGAAATTAACATAAACACAATTATGCAGCACCATGATATTTGCTGAGAAGCCAAATCAATCAAAACAAAAAAGAGTAGTCCCTTTCAACAAAAAAACTTTTAACATAAAAAAAGAAACTAGAACTTAAACCGAAAAAAAAAAAACCAATCATCAACATTCAATCCACAGTAAGCTCAAAAACTCGTTTACAGTTTACTCAAAAATAAAAACAAACAAAACAAAGAAAGAAAAGCTCCCTATTACAGTGACTACCTTTAATACAAGCTCGATTTGAGCTAGATCTTGACTGAGTTGGAAGTGTTTGCCAATGGTGATCACAAAAAAATATGGTGCACCATATATCCCCAAAATGGTGATGTTCCGAGCTTCAAGGGAGAAAAAGGTCGATAGCTAGTTAATAGAGAGCGAAGAACAAATTTCCCCTGTTTTCGTGAAACCGGCAGATCACCCTCTGGCAGGGTCTCCCCATTTTTCCGTGTGACGGGGAAAGCCGTGGAAAAAGATTTACTCGGCTACCACCCAAACAAACGGGTGAAAGCCTACAAAATGTGAAAGTGGGTGAAAATTTAGAAAGTTTCTTTCTTTTACGAGGCTATCAAATGCAGCCTTGATACATTCAATGTTTTTTAATATTCAATACCCTTAATCCGTCATGTAATATTTTTTTTTTATGGATAATTTAAGTAATTAAATAGGGATAAAATAGAAATTTTTAATAGGAAAATATTATTTATTTTTATAGTACCACGCAATGATTGTTTCTTAACCATTAATTATAAAAAAATGCTTTTTACTAAAAAAAAAAATTTATATTATAAAATAACAATATATGAGTGTTCAAAAAAGTTGAGTAAATTAAAAAAATACTCCTATGTATGACCTATGTATGAGTACCTATCTTTTATTTTAATACCATATGAAATAGAGTGGCGAAAAATTGCATGAGAAAGGAGAAAACCTTGGGGCATCATTTATGATTAATTTGCAAATACTATAAGATAGTTGTTTGATGTGATTTAGCTAATGAATGAATGATATTTTAGTCAATTATTAGATTTCTAGCTAACATAGAAAACCAAAATATCCACTGCCAATTTTAAATTGATTATGAAAATAACCCCTCCCCTGTTTTTTTGGTTAAAAAAGAGTGCATTGGTTGCATTCAGAACATTAGCTACTTTAACATGAGCAGGCAGCGAAGCCAAAGGAAAGAAACAATCTCTCTCTCTATTTCTCTTGAGTTGTCTTTTGTATTGGTTCAGCTCTCTCTTCAAACTGTCTTTTCCATTGGTTCACCCATTACGATATAGAAAACAAATCACATTTTGTTCTCAATGATATAGCCATCTCTCATGGTTTCTCTCATTGAAGAAAAAAGTCTGGAACAAACTAATCCAATGCTAAGGATGATATTAAAAGAATAGAGAAGTGTTGATTCCATGTATCGGGCAGGCCGGCCAGAAACCAATGGCTGCAATCTTTGCCCTTAGGAGAGGTGTAAATTGAAGGGTGGGCATCCTTCCTAAGCTGGGAGAGCAGAGATGTGTTGAGTAGATTTGCTGGTCTCGTCATACCTTTTATCACTCTCTCCAACACCTCCATCTGTGGCATGGGTCCTCCTGGGTATGTTGATCCACTAATTGGTTCCTTTTGTCCATAACAATCGCCACTCTGCGTGTCGTCCCATCCTTTTGCACTGTGAAACAAAGCAAACACTCAACTCATAAGTAAATTTGGAAATCGGCCTCCATGTAAATTCCTTCTGCACTCCTAACGCACTTGGTTTTCAAGATGGACTAGGATACCTACAACTTGGAAATAGTAGGGGCACACAATTTACGGTTGCAGGGGCATAGGGCAATGACAAAATCACAGCATTTTTCTGGTTATTTTGTTAACATCGTCCTCTCTGTGAATTATCTATCTGTTTGGGAATTTCAATTTCAAGGGTGAAGTTTCATCGAGTAAAACTTCAATCTATCAATTAGAGTGCAGAATTGTTGAATGCAAAAAGGTGATAAGAAAGAATTGTGTTATTATAGTTTTGTCTAGTTCCCTCATTTTGTGTTCATGTCAAGTGATGAACAAGCAATCCAGAAAATATCAATAAAACCTTCAAGAATTTCCCTTGACCTTTTTCTATTTGTTTTACACTAGATGTTTGCGATAGAAGTGCTGTCTATTGAGTTCACAAAGATTACATAAAAAATTGAACTATTATTATCCATTTGCCCCACATAATACGCGATTTAAAAGTACTAAAATGGATTTGAACTCTTTAGAGTCCTGATCTGAGTAGTTACTTAGATAGGCTCGAGTTTCGAGAGAATCGGCCTAGTATCATTTGGAGTCGATGGTTGTTTGAGGTGAGTTGGATTGGGCTTGCAAAGTTTTAGAACTATGATTCGAAGTGCTGTATTGAAGTTTCTTTTTAATGCTGGTTTGGAGCTCAATATAAATTCATGAAGTAAAGAAGGAGAAAGATGGAGAGGGTGAAAACAAGGACAGGCAATTTTGGCCACCTCTATTTTGAGTGTTTGGCTATGTCAAATTAAACTTTTGTAATATCAGCTATGACAAATTTTTTTCTGAAGTACAGCTAGGTGAGTTTCTTTGAAACAGGTGGATAGGGCTTAAATAAGGGGAACCACAGAGTGCAAACCTAACTGAAAACAAGAAGAAAAACATGTGCTCAAGTATAAAATGGTGGTGTTTAGTTGACTGTTTCTATGGCAAATGCCACTTCGTGAACAAATGCTAATAATTTCTCATCTCAAGCCCCTATATAGCTCAATTGACGCTACATTCACCGTATTTCATGAAGGTAGACATGAAAGGAAAGTATATATTGTCTACCAGGTTAATATATGATGTGTATATTGTAATATTTATATTTAAGAAGGGTAGATACAATAACTTGTATTTATAGTAAGTCTGGGTATAGTATAAGAATATGTAGGTATAGAAACAAATCACAGATTCATATATATATATATATATATATATATATTTGAGAAAAGATGGGAGTAGCCCACTAGCTCATATGAACCAAATGTACCAGATTGAATCTAGGCCAATTTGACGATTACGGATATCCGATAATGTTTGAATTTTATTTGTTTTTTCTACAAATTTATATCACTTGAAATTTTAGGCGTGTTTTCATAAAAAATAAGTGAATCTTTGAAAAATATCAAAAAAATATTTTACATAAAATAAATTGATCAAAATACCCCTGAAAAGATTCAAGGGGTATATTAGTCATTTTGTTTTCACGAATAATTTTTTGTTATATTTTTATTAGGTGCGCATTGATGAGAAGAACGCACATCTAAAATTTTCAGTGATTTGGAAGAGTAGAATATATTTTCTATTTTATTTATAAAGTTTAAAACTGCGAAATAATGTAGATTGAGAGATCTATAAAAACTTAGAATTTAGTACAGTAAAAAATAGTGTTA